AATATTAATAATCATAATCACCCGGTTCAAATAAATAGTAGGAGCATAACTTTATGTACTATCACATTACAATAATGCAAAGGAGCATGTCGTGGCAAACATTGGTATCAAGTAATTAATTCACAATGCCAAGTGCAATATGTAACAATCAACCACCTAACGTACGTCCCTCGCCCCCAGATGAGGCACCCTGTAAATACACAGTAACATATTTAGGTAAACAAAAGCGAAATGTGCTGCAATAAATTCAATTATAAATTAAATTGTAGTTCTGCATACTTGTATTGGATACCGCCCCTAAGGGAACATAGGGTATCTAAATATAAATAAAAAGACGTAAATCGGTCAGTAATTCACAGTAGGACCAGTATAATTAAAACTGCAATTTGTATCTGGAATGTGTTATAAATGGCAATAATCAATGCTGTACGAGAATAAAGTTAAATTGGCAAATAATCGAACACGTTCATATCATTATTAGATGGATGCAATAGACGTAGAGATAAATAAAACGAGTACATCACCTTTGTAATTGTCGAAGCTGCACTCACTATTCGCAACGTAAAGATTTACTTCTGGTCTCAACAAAAGCACACATACTTCCGCCCCATTCTCCCCCTTTTAAACAAATCCTAGACGAAAATGGGAATTGTTAATGTCGATAGGGATCATTAAGTTTCCTCGCATAGCGTAATATTTGACACTTTTATTGTAAATTATGGCCCATTTCAATGTAGAGCAGAAAAGAAAAAACACGTGTTCCACGAAAACGAAACAAAGCGTAATGATGACCTTTTTTTTCTTCGCGCCAGGGTCGCTTTCGGGAATATTTAAATCGAATTTTAGCGGGCTAATTCGGTTCCATCACATATATTAAAAATTTAAAAACGAAAGGACTAAACTGGTTTTTTTAATCTCAATAGAGCGATTACTCTGCGTAGAACTTGTGCTTCTTGGTATAGGGACAGCTGATGGCATTCGACAAAATGGTGTTAAAGCGTCGTGCCCCACGTTGAGTGCCAAATAGACTACCTGGTTAATTGCCTCTTTAAATGTTCATGTTACATCTCGCGCTCGACCACAGGGAGGGAGGGTCAAAGGTCTAATTTTTGGGTTTTTTAATTATACCTCGGAAACGGTGGCCTGTAGTAAAAATTGTTTTACATAAAAATGAAAGCTAATTAAATTTCCTGTAAAACTATTCCTATACATATTTGTCGAATTGTCAACGGTTTTCGAGGTATACGTTATTGAATATAGATTTTCAAAAAGATCATTTTTACCTAACTAACTCTTTTTGCCAATATTTGTTTACCATGCCTTCTACTATCGTTTCTCAGTTACACTATTAAGTGTTACAAAATTAAAGAAGAAGGGATAGAAGGAAGTGCAGAAAGGTACACTCGGACGGCTAAACAAGGAACTAAAGTAATAGCAACTCTGTCATAGAATTAACTTACATCTGAACTAAAGGGGTTTACAAAGGAATAGATGGCGTAAGAATATCGAATATAATAAAATATAAGTTTGGGATTTAAAATATATTATGGACTTTTACATTGTTAAGAAAAAGAACGTCATCTTCGGTACAAACGACTTCCTTTGAAAAAACTTACTTGCGGTCCGCCGAAAGTGTTGGTTACTACAAAATACAACATCTAGTGCATAACACTGTAACTTAGTAAATGTCAAATTGAATAACGTGGGAGATGTAGATGAGCTGTAAACAATGCTAGGCACTGCATAATTATCACTCTCTTTTGGGAAAATGTTCCTACCTAAATGGAATTTTCATGGAAATAGGATCTTTACGCAATAATTAAGTTATCCTACATATTTTCAGTATTATCTGCTACATAGAATATTACAGTGTTGTGTACATAGGAAGTTTTGTAGACGTACAAATGATGCAGAACCGAAAGGGTGAAAAGTTTCTTTACTTTTTTAAAGTATGAAACAGTTCTTGTTTCCTTTAACGTACGTGGCTTTACTGCAATAGAATATATGAATAAATCGGGGATTGATGCGAAACAGTTCTTTAAGGTAAAAGATTAAACGAAATTAATTCTGCGCATTTGTGGCTGATTTGATGTGGAAAGGGTTTGGCTCCGCCCCCTGGACTTGGATATTATTTGGAACGCACGGACCGACCACAGACTTCTGGGGCGTGGCTTCTCGTTGAGGTGCCCCGCTATGGAAATTTTCAACTTTATCTCTTTCTTGGAAATGCTGCGAAAATCTTCTTTCCCAGCACGAAGATTATACTTGATGTAGACGATGGCTCGATCTTGGCTTTCTTCCTTCGAGATCCGCCTAATGGATTGATTGACTTAAAATTGCACGGGGCACTTCGCGAAAACGATTAGCGTAGGTTCGACAGCGCGTACGATCATGTAACGAATGCCACCTTCACACTATTTACACTCATATTTATAGGTATACGTCTGCAACAAAAACTCAACTGGCGCTCATATAAGGTAGCGTTTACATTGAAAAATTGGAAATTTGTTACCTCAATAACTGCCTTCTGGGTCAAAATTGTTGGTTAGAATAAAATTCATTCAAATATATAAAGTTACGACATTTGCATGAAGCAAAAATTATTTAGCTAATTCCTGTTAGTTTCGCCGTTATTTACGAAATAAGATCTTAAAAAACTGCCCTATAAAATATATATTTTTCATTTTTATCACACACTGATAATAATTTGTTACCAAATTTAACTTCGGTCACAACCTTTAGCAACCATCGGTCGTTAACAGAAGTTCATTTTTTCACCTAGAAACACAGTTATTGAGGAAATCGCAAGGCAACTTTTTAAATTTTCTAGTTTCTAATTGAAATCCCTACCTACAACATACATTTGGACGCATTAGGATTAACATAATATAAAATTTAAAGTGGTATCAACAGAACACTAACCAAAGCATGTCGTGCGGTCATAGGCCCGCCGGTGACATCACTACAGACGGCGAAAAAATTATGTGTTCGAGCAAACCTATAGGTATTATACAGCATCCTTGACCTACCGACGAATGTGTCTCGTCCAGAACTTGCAGATTTGTGAATGCTCATTTCTGATACTCTGTTTCCGAGATATGCAAAACAGATGCATTTTGTTTATAATCTTCACTTTTCCTTTGTCTGTCCCTCTCCTGGCACTTCGTTCTCGAAGTATTCAAATTAAAAATTCGTTTCCCTTCACGCACCTCTTTCTGTAAACGCTTGTAAAGGATGAGCAAGACAAGACAGGGAACCATACAATTTATTTCTCTCCTAAGAAAGTAGTTATTCCTCGGTACGGAAGCTACTGAACGTGGGGAGATTTCGGACAGATGAAGTTGTGAAACGTCCGGCACTTTCGTCGCGGTTGGTTTTAGGGAACTACAAGCTCTATAATGTCCTGGTATTGGCGGTTTACTTGTCATCCTTCTATACCACAGCTTGAAATGTACACATTCCAATACTCCATCAAAGCCAAACGTGCTCAAAAATGAATGACACTGGTAGCTGCCTTCATGTGACATGGAATGGCAAACATTTGGATCTAGTGATGCTTCTAGGTAGTCAATCTCAAGATCAGTTTGAAGTGTAACAGCTGGTCGCTTAGACGTTTTTAAAAAGTTTTTTTTTTCGAATTTGTTTTATTCAACATAAGAAAATTTACACATATACCGCTTCATAGCGAACGTGAACGAAAGTATGTTGGGAAATAAGAGCGATAACAACGTGTACATACATTTTCGAGATAAAACGCTAGTGAGACCGGACTGTAAAGGATTTTTCGGTCGACGAGGTTAAACTTTCAAAGAGTTAGCGCGTACTATTTGCGTGTGACAATTTTACCCAGTTAATTTAACGTACCATTTTAGGTGGGCTAAAATGTTCGTTTGTGAAAGCGATAAAGTCTTACCAGCTTTATGTTTTGAGTGAAAACATTCTAAACAAGAACGTCGCTGCTATGTTTTAATCGCGTCGTTAAGAAGCTAGGTAAATAAACTCGAGAAAATAAACAGACATTATAAAACTCATTGCGATAAACAAATAAGTTTTTTTCGGATTGCTAACCGTTACAGCTGGGTAAAAGCAAGTTTCTCAAAGTTTAGTGACGTCATTGGATAGCACATTGTGCAAGAAATAAAATGTTGTGTACAACAGCATACAGGAGGGATTTAAAGACAATTAGTCTATGCATTTGCTTCCAATAAAACCTTGTTAATATGTTGGCATTTTATTCCTGCGTATAATCACGATCTCGAATATTGCTTTCGCGAAATTGAAGCCGGTTTGCTTGTATTCGTAATACGTACGGCCATTTTTTCCGTGAAGGTTTGGCATTCATCATGGAGTCAGCTGAAACACGTAATTTATTATACCGTTAAATTCTGCACACTCGTGTTGAATATCATCTTTAAAACAACGTGCTGTACCTAAATATCAATAAAAACACGTAAATCTGTCAGGAATTTATACGTAGGGTTGGGACGTAAAACCCGTGCAGCTGTACTGCAAATTGGAAAAACAACATATTTACGTAGAAAAACACCATGGAAACTCGCCATACCTCTGTGCAGGAATTAAGGATATGATCAGCATAATTATAAAAGAGCAATCTGTATTTGTAATTGGCTATAAATGACAATACTCATGCTGTACTGGCATTCACCTAATCACTAACGCATCAGTAGAATGCAGGTAACTTGGCAAGTAATCTAACACAATCATATAAGAACTGGATGGATGCGATAAACGAAAGACAAAAGAAATACATCACTTGAATAATTGTTAAAACTCCAAAGGGATGTTGTTTTATCTAAATCATATACTATGCGATCAAAAAAGAGTTTCTGTCAAGTCACCTCTGGAATTCTTGTTTCCATGTGAAATCATATTTTAACTTGAACTTCCAAAGGCGACCCGACGTCAATCCTTTTTTGATCGTCAGTTATTAGATACCTACTTAAAACATGATCTATTTTTAAATTTTTATTTCATTACAGATATATTTTGGAATTTGGGTAACAGTCTGCGTAACTGGTTCCTGGGTTGGTGCTACACATTGTGTTAAGTACCTCTTCCTGAGTAGGCAAGTGGATAGTGATGATGCCGTATTTATACCTCATGATGTAGGATTAAACATGACTGCATTTTCTAGACGATATGTAAGTATTGAATTGATCCATAGTTTTGATTTTAAATAAAGATCTGTACCCATTTTTTGTTTTTGCAAATTAGGTACCTACAGCTTGAAACTTTATGTACATGTCGACAATTAGAAAACGCTGGCCCTACATAGAGAGGTTTGGAACGGCGCGGTCCAAACAGATTTCTTTGTAAATTAGTAGGTAAGCGCGCTAGAATTAACCAGGGCAGAATTGTGCGTGACACATAATACCTGTCGCAGTTCAAATCGGCGGATCAACCTCTCTCTGTGTGACCAGCTATTGTTGCGTTTTTTCTCGACTCTGTAGATTTCGTCATATAGATTTTACTACATAATATACTTTCAGAAATAGCATTCACATTCTTATGATTTGATCTTATATGGTACGGTATCGGATCTACATTTAATGTGCTTTTTAATTTTGCAGTCATCTTCCTTTAACGCGCCATTTTTTACCACTTGGTTTGTTACAAATTGGACTATGTTATTTTTTCCGTTATATTTTTTATGCCGCTTGACATCGCAACGCTGTAAGTCGGCGTCAGATATTTTTTCAGAAAGTGTACGAGACTTTCGGGATAAAGGTTTTACAGCTGGTAAGTCTCTTGCTACTCTGCGCTTTAACTACGCCGTCTATTAATTGTAGCTCGTTTTTTGACACGATGTAGCTTATTTTGTTTACTGTGGGTGATAACGAATTATATGTATATAAGAGCTTTATGCATTTTGTTGTCGACCGACGTGATGGCATTATTTGCAACGAACGTCTCTTCCGTTTATTTGCTTTCATGGGTAATTCTTCATGAGCAATTCGTTGGAATTCGGGTACTTGCTATTGGATAGTATGTACTGGTGTTACAAATAGTAATTTTTAGATAATGGCTGTGATTTTATGCGATACAGGAATTGCTTTACTTGCGTATATGGATGGCATTACTGGTAGTCCAACGCTGGGAGGAGTGGTTCTGGCGGCTTCGGCGGCAGCAAGCTCCGCAGTGTACAAAGTTTTATTTAAGAAAGTTATCGGGGATGCTACTTACGGACAAGTCGCCCTATTCTTTTCTTTAATTGGAATGTTAAACGCTGCGTTATTATGGCCGTTTAGTTTAGGATTATTTTTAACTGGAGTAGAATCGTTACATTGGGATCGTCTACCGTGGCCGGCGTTACTTGCGTCAAGTATTTTGTCTTTAAGTATGCTCTACGCCGTTGCGTATAAATTAACCATGTACAACTTTTTCAGTTGCCAACTTATTAGGAAATTTTAGTGTGGCGTTGACATACGATCTGTTCATAACGCTGGGTCTTATTACATCAGTGCCCGTTTCTGCAGGTAACGCTTTTATAAGAATACATTCTATGCCTACAAGTAGCAAAGAGTACCCATTGTCAATTGTGGGTACTTTATGCTACTGGTATTAGTTTAATAATAGTAAGCTTTAGAATTTGCATGAAAAAAGTTCAATTGTAATTGACATGATTCAATTATTTTACTTGGTGACAAATTTTTACCCGAGACCCAATTGACACTTAAACAGCTTGACCCTATTTGACCCGTTTACTTGATATCGTCCAAATAAAAAGTGACTCGCGGACCTTCACCTTAACCGGCTCACCATGGGTTGCAACTCGCAAGGTTCGCCCTGGCACATAGCTGTCTCTGTACTGTAATTCGCTAGAGTCAAGTAGGGTCCAGCCGGTCCAGGAGTTAAGTCATGCCGGGGGGTTGATGTCAAGACGATGACTCGCATAAGTTGATGACCCGGCTGTATCTCTGAACACTTTCATGCCCACATAATAATTGTCAAATGATAGACAACAATGGTCAAAATAAAAATGTTCATTGTAAATATGCAATGATTGCAATTTGGTGTGTTCAAGGTAAAAGTACATTCATATATTTCTTTTTCCACTCTTTCCTAATGAAGTATTTCTGATGATCTAAGCGTTACATATTAAAAATCGAAAAAATCTGACGAACAATGCATGCACTTGCCATAAACGATGTGTATGTCCAATAGATCGATTTGACCCGCAGCACTCCCTTCCCCCGCCTTGTGGAACCAATATGGCGGCCTAGGGAAAAACTGTCACTGACTAAAAAATATATATTTATATTTCAAGGATTGCATGCGACAAAAAAATCAAAATTCAAGCAATTTACACTCTAATTTGTCATTTAAATATTATAAAAATACTTCTTCCAGTTAATACATTTTTTTTGTTTTAATGTCGATCTAAATCACAAAATAATTGTTGGATAAATAATTAGAATTTTGATTTTGTAAAAAAATACATTTTACTAATAAAAAGTAAAACCATCTGTAGTTTAAAAATTCGTAGAGGGTGAAGGAGGGGAGATATGAAAAAATTTTGCGTATGGACCGTTACAAATCAGAGCAAGCGGAGCCGAGCGTATGTCTCATCAAATCCAAAAAGTGTTACCAAAATTATGTGCAATTATGTGCAGATGTGGATTCAACAAGTTGAATGGAAATTTTCAAAAAAATGTCACTTTGTATAGGTGATGTTTCAAAAAAACAAAAATATCCCTCACAAATTCAAAAAAATTGTCAGTTTAGTCTGCTCAATATCATTTTCTTACCCCACCAAAACTGAAACTGAGAAATTATCTTTGTTGAACAGTGAACAGTGCGAGGCCAAGCCGGCTATGCACATTTACAAATCAGAGTGAGGCGAGGCCGGAGCCGAGCGGATGTGTCCTTAAAAGCAAAAAGTGTTAATTAAAAAATTTTATGTACAATTATGTGCAGATCTGAATTCAACAAGTTGAATCCAAATTTTCAAAAAAAAGCTATGGACATCATCAAAACCAAAAAGTGTTCCCAAAATTAAAAAATCTTATGTGCAGACTTGGATTCGACAAGTTGAATCGAAATTTTCAAAAAAAGTCACTTTGTATAAGTGATGTTTCCAAAAAACAAAAATATTCCTCACGAATTAAAAAAAATGTTAATTCAGTCTGCTCAATAGCATTTTCTTACGCACCAAAACCGAAACTGAGAAATTGTCTTTGTTTAACAGTGAAAAGTGCGAGGCGAAGCCGAGCTATGGACCGCTACAAATCAGAGCGAGTCGAGGTGGCAGAACCAGAACCGCCGGAGTGTTTCATCAAAACCAAAGTGTTATCAAAATTAAACAAGTATAAATTGTGCACAACTCTTGTGCAGATAAAGTGCATTTTTTTAACCGAAATAACTTTTGTTTTGACATCACTATGGATATATTTCTTGCAGACGTCTCAATCGCCCTTTGAGAGTACCCTTCCGACAATCCGTTCTTGTTATTGTTGCTCGCCCCGTCGTAGACTATTGGATTGTAGTTTGAATCTCTGCTATTGTAAAGGCGATTGATAGCCGTTTGCACCGACAAATTTAAGTGGAGCTTAGCTTCAGCATTTTTTTAACCGAAATAGCTTTTGTTTTGACATCACCAATGGATATATTTCTTGCAGACGTCTCAATCTCCCTTTGTGAGTACCTCTCCGACAATCCGTTCTTGAGGTATAGGGGGATATGCCCGATCACGATAAGAGGTCGAAGAGGAGGGCTATGGTTGGTAGAAATTAATTCCTTTCGTTGAAACCTTTCATTAGAGTACCATGAAGGATAACTAATTAAAGCTTAAATTTATTACATTTTGTATTTTTGACCTCAAGAGTTCAAATCAGCGGCCTCAAATTATCCTTAAAAACATTACTTGCATGCCATGCTTGAAATACAAATATATATTTTTTTAGTCAGAAACAGATTTTTTCGGTTAAAAAATGCGCTTTATCTGCACAAGAGTTGTGCACAATTTATACTTGTTTCTTCTCTCTAGTGTCGATCTACACGATCTTTGTATTCGAAATTCAGATACATTTCGGTCTCAAATGCCCAAATTAAAAATTACGTTACTCATTTAAATATGTACGTAATGCGTACCTATTCGAAATATTGAAAGTTGATTTACCGATAATGATACCTGACATTGGGAATAAAAATGTTTCAATGTTATCATTACATATTTATAGTAGCGGAAGGTCAGCGGAATCAATGCATAATATCAATATCAGTGAAACAACTGGTAGGTATTATGACGAACGTCTTGGTTCGTCTACAATTAAATATTCATTAATCGTTGTCTCAACGAAAGCGTAGGTAGATAGGTCCTTCCTAGTCATACGATATGAATAAGTTGAATTAAAATTTGACATTTTCTCTGCAAATAGATGAATGAGTGACTTTACTTTATTTAGGACGTTTTTAAAATGGAAATGTTAGAAATTGATAAAAATTATTGGTATGCCTTGTCTTAAGAACCAATTATAAACTTTTTTGATTTTGTACAGTGTGGTCCAATTTCGATTGGATTAAATGCGTAACCTTCCATATTAGCGCAGATAAACGAATATGGTTTAGGTGCATGTGACCTCGTTTTTCATGCTTATTGCATTACCGTTTCCAGAAATAAGCTTCCGTCTTTAGTTTTTTCTCTAGAGAGAATTGCCGAATCCTTTAATTTGCTAAAACGAAATCGCACTTTAGCATTATTCAGGCACTCTTTATGTAGAAATCAATGCCGTTTGTCGTTAGTTTTTAGCCCTTTTAGAAACACTTGATAGATAAGCTTGATATCAACATTTAAAGAAAACAGTAAACAAAACAGTGAACTAGGTATCTGATACTAAACAAAATCCCCTCCATTGTGGGAAATGCACATGCTGCATCTATTTTTCAAAGATCTTGTTGCATTCTGGATTTTTAGTGGTTGAACTGCTTCAAACGCTCATTGTACATTTTCCCGTAATTCTTCCTCAGTTGTACAAGCATAGGTATTTATAAATTTTAATTTTCAAAAAAACTCACAAAAAGAATTAATCTAATGGATACAAATATATGTATAAATAAGTAGTATAATTTAATAACAGGAATAAATAACACAAATTTACCTTTCGGCGTAATTTACCTTATAATATCGTAAAGCCAATTAAAAATCGAGTTTATATAAAACTGGAGACGGAAAACGTAAAATAAACCAAATACAAGAAAATCCACGTTTAAGATCTTAAAACCTTCCCTATAAAATTCAATTTATTCAAAAATTTAATGTTGAAAAATAAGGCTGAGGCGACATGTTAACAACTATCAACTAACAAGCCATCATCAGGTCAATCTTAAAACTTCCGGTAACGGTGCAAAGTCCATGATATAAACAAGTGAAACGGAAGATGAACCCTGAACGGGGAACACTCCAACCGCGCAAGTTAAAAGCCGCCTTCCTGAAGGGAAGGCTAACCGAAATATTAAATTAAGGAACAATTCATCAAGTTCAATCACTGTCAAAACAGTATGGGTGCGTTCACCAGACTGAAGGGCTTCAAGTGTATGCTTAACCGCTCACAAGTAGCGCTTATAAAGCGCTCCTGGTTCTGTTGAACGGTTCGCTATCTACCAACTGTCATTTCTCATTCCCACTTTTGTTACGTGTACGTCAAACCACATGTCACACAGTAACACAGTGTACGTTACAGATATAACCTCAAACACCGCTACCCAGAGAAAGCGGTTGCCGAAATACGCTTCGTACGCTGCTGCAGCGCTTACTTTGAAGAGTTAGTTGAGCGAGTCGTTCACCAGACATTTTAGGTAGCGCTAGCGAAGCGCTTCGTCTGGTGAACGTGCCCATAATTATAGCACGGAATGTACCGCATTGTTTTGAAGGCTTTCTATTGGCGAGTATGGAATTTAGCTCCAATATGGCGACCGGAACCAACGACCAATCAAAAACGAGATACTCTGTTGTCGCCACTGTCTCTCTAAAGTCACGGTCATTAGGTTTTTTATGGTCACTGTAGTCTAAGCCATCCACTCATCTACACGGAGATTTTTAACGAACCCTACGACATCAAAATCTATACTATGAGCAAAAATCATACATCGATCCACTCCTACTCTTGGCTAACAGTTCGACAAAAGTAGCCGTCAGACCTAATCTGTTTTCATTCATTTACACTAATAAGAAAGTTACCCATTTAATCTCAACGAAATTGGATCATACTCTACCTACTGTTTGATTAGCGCTTGGACTGTAATGTAACTAGTTATCACCGTAAAGCAGAAAAGATGTATGTGCTTTGATGTGCAGGTATTTTTTTTTATCAAAATTGGGAACCAGTGGCTCCCTCCAATTAAACATTGTCTGCAATAACTATTCTTCCCATATGGAAAAACGTGATAATAATAATTATACTACATACCTACAACATGTTGATCCTGCAAACACGTGGTGAGTTTATATTTGAGGATTCAACACTGCAGTTGTTTTACGTTGACCATTATTGTCTATTCATTACCTATGGTGGTACAAATAAGAAAGAAACATAGAGGTAGTTTTTAGTGCAAGCATTTTGCAGGTTGCTTTGACGTTTGGGAGTCAGAGTGTCTTATGTGAACACTGATCAGTCTTGAATTCAAAATCTTTTTGATTTTTGATTATAAGACTACTTGATAATCAGCTGATAAGATAAATTTTATGTTTATTTCTGAAACTTTTATTGTGTATATTTCTATATTACGAGTAAGCCTTGGAGGTGACCAATATTAAAGTTGATCGTTATGTCCTAATGTACCTCAAACTTTTTTCTAGCCTTGGATGTCGTGCTTTATGGAGCTCACTTTGAAGGAATGAAGTTAGCCGGCATGATTCTAATTGCCGTTGGATTTTTCCTGGTGATGTTTCCAGATAATTGGCCCGATTATATTACAAGACTTCTCAGGTATTTACATCTACAATAATTTGGTATGATTTATTTGTTGTTATTTGTATATAGTATGAAGTGTAATAGTACTACTTACATCTTTTTGTTCTATCACTTCACTTCTATCTTCTCGTTTCAATAATTGTGAATAGGTACCTACATGTAAAACCTCTATTGTCTAAGACAAGTTCTCTTGAACAGCACCTGTGGTTAGGTTACACAAAAAAGTTGCAAAATTAATTAGTGCAGCGATGTTGCATACTGAGCAAATGTTTGCTAAAGATAAGGATACTAAAGGCGCTAGAAGAACTGACTCTTAGATAGTTACATACCTACCATACAAATTCGTTTAAGAGAATACATAGGTACGACGTACAATTTCCCTATGTACCTGTCTGCTTAATTGGTCCACATCAAAGCATTAAAAATTTTATAACGGATTTTGGGGCTGCACTCATATTGATCAATGCTACTCAAAATAAATAAAAGTTTATTCGACACCAAGAACAAACAAAAATACATGCATTGCCTACTGTAATGTTAATGTACCTATTAATTGTAAATTACCGATGCACCTATAATTCTTTCAGAAAATTTGGTACTACACATTACGCACATTTCTGAAACCATTACCCAAATTATTGTACCAATTCACTTTCAAGTTTTTTGTTCCTTTCCTTTTTTTGATTGTCATTTGGGAATAAATATTGTCTAAATTCTCTATTGCTTTGATGGGGGAGATAAGTACATAGGTACATTATGAGAACTGCAGTACGGATCTACGTATTAACTCAAAAGAATACCTCTGTATGTAACCTACGTATAACATTGATGTTCACCTAACCTTTTTCATCACAAATAGGACTTTAATTTGCAGAAAAACAAGTCGTGTCTTCAGAGGGAAGGTTTGTTTTTTCACTATTAAATTAAAACTTATTTGCTAATGGCATTTTGAATAAATTTTAAGTTTACTGTAAAAATGCTTCTTTGCATTTATGATGCAATTCCATGAAACAAGAAACTAATCGATTTTACATCACTTTATCCAGTCCGAATAAACGGACTTCTTATGTAATTTCTATATTTATTATTTTTATATTATATAATATATATATAAACACAACTGACAACTACTTTTAGTAGTTTGGAATTCCTCTTTCACACGGGCCACAGTAAATTACCTCACAGTGTATAGGTATTTCAAACCGCTCAGTGGATGGTCAAATTGATAAATGATAAAAGTAACATAAGATGCCACAATTACGAATTTGACCTAGAATATGAGAAATTCTGTTGTAGTGCCCTAGATTTCGAGATAAAAACAATCTCGCGTTTTATGTAAAAGGTCGCCGTGAGTAGTTTAATTTTTGTGACCGTAGCGTTTCCAGATTTCAATAACAACTTTGGACGGTGTGTAATATAATACACAATACAAATTTATTAAAAAATAAAGTAAGTAATGTAATAACTCCTTTAGTGTTTGGTTTCATTTTAAAATCGTTCTTGGAAAATGATACATGATTACCTAAGAGAAGATTAGGTACGCAACGAAATAAGAAGTTTGTTGAAAAATGTATGCATCCATGTCTTACAATTGTAAAAAAAGTAACCATTTTGCATACCTATACATTGGGCAGATGGATCGTAGCGAGGCCTAAGATACTGCCGGAGCGCTCGAAAAAGTCACGTGACCTTAGGAGTCAGTTCAGGACACATTAAATACATTAAGGCTTATGGAAAATCCGTGCGCAGCTCCACTATTTATTTTTTTACTCCGAATCCGTTTAACATAGAGCCACGAAATTTCAATGAGAGCTGGTCAATGGTACAGACAATTAAATGATGGTGTTTGTTAATTTTTAGTAACACTGGAAATAGTTAATTTTAAGGTTTAAAGTCTTTGAAGATAAAACGCCGATAGTAAATCCGTTTCTGTTTCTAGGAACGATATTATAATTCTTTCGGTGTCTTAAACTAGAATGATATTCGCCTTATCTTGTATTAGTGTAGATTTAACAGGCCCTACAAAATCGCGCATTAATTATCCGCGCAGAGCAAAATTCATCATGCGAGAAACTTTTTTGTGGTTGGTACAATTGTATCACATATATCGAATGAATTGTGACCAAAGAACACAAAAACGTTTTTCAAAAGGAATTTTTAAGAAATAGTCTTTTGTTTCCAGTTTTAGTAAATAGCGGGACTTCAGAAACTTGCGAACGCGGAATGGAAATTATTATTTTTAAATAATTATTACTAATGGACTTTCAAATAGTGTTTGAAATATGTAGAGAACCATTAAACTTACAAAATTAAAAAAATTACATACATGGTTAGTTCAAAGTATGGATTTTCTTTTTATAATCTGAGTTAATATTAATTTTACATTAATTTACTTATATGAAAGTCGCTTTATGACCAACCGAACATTGCAGATATATTGTCATCCTTTACATCAGCATTATCAACGAATAATTTCATTTTTGTGCCCCATGATTATGACAGTGTGACTTACTCTTCGCGTTTTGTTTTACCCAATTTATCATATACATTTCATTTTGTGATGTGAGTTAAAACAAGATCATATTGAATTGCCACTTACCAGTGGTAGACATCTATTTAGTTTCTAATGGTAGTGCGAGTGTTATAGAGAATATTGTGGTGCACACAGAAAAAAACTGAGTGGTCTCCTTACTGGTTATTCGGAACCGACTATGATCTCTTGTAGAGGGCGAGACATGCACAGAGGATTCTTGACAGACAGCCAGATAAATTGCATATATTTGAAGAAATTGCCACAAATGGTGCATATAACACTTCTGCAGTGACTTTCGATTGAATGTGCATAATATTTAAAACATTCTACACCAGCCACCTCCTAGGGAATAAGCTTTAAAAATTATTAGACAAACTCACACTCATTCTACAGGAGCGAATTGTTCTAAACACGAATTTTCCGGAAGCTATAATGTAAAACTAATATTAACGAATATACAGGGTGGTGACTTGCGTCACGCATCATAGGGATTTCAATGTAAAATTCATAACATGCAACTATTGGCTCCCCAAATTATTTTAGAGCAAAAATGTATTAAAGTTTTTTGTAGAAAAAAAATCTTTACGTCAATAAACCGTATTAGTTTTCAATTTTTTACATAATAAAGACGGAAAATTGGAAAAATAAAACCCGCATCTTTTGCAATAATCTGCGATGCCATGGAATTTTCTAAAACAAAAAGATGTCCAGTTATCAATTAGCAGTAGTTCGAAATGGATTTTATGATTGACTTGGTTACTGCCTTGCAGTTAATGGTGACTTATTCGAACATTTATTGTAAATTGTTATATTAGGAAACCGTTTTTAGTCATTTGGTCTTTCTTTATGTTGAATTCGCTGTTCTAAATATAATACTTTTTGATAGAATTTGATTTGTTTTATAGCAGACATTCCATGGCATGACGGATATTGTAGTTTTTGTATTATAAAATTCCATGGCATCACAGATTATTGAAAAAGATGCGGGTTTTATTTTTCCAATTTTCTGTCTTCATTATGTAAAAAATTGGAAACTAACGCGGTTGATTGACGTAAAAAATTGTTGTCTATAACAAACCTTAATACATTTTTGGTCTAAAATAATTTGGGGAGCCAATAATGGCATGTTATGAATTTTACATTGAAATCCCTATGATGCGCGACGCAAGTCACCACCCTGTATAAGATATATTCCATACTTTTGATTAACCGTGTATATAAAATTTGTAATTTTGTGAGTTTAATGGTCCTCTAAATATTACAAACATTATTTGAAAGGCGATTAGTAATAAAATTATTTAAAAACTAATAATTTCCATTGCGCCTTCGCGTGTTCCTTAAGTTACTTAAACTGCTGAAAAAAGGAAACAAAAGACCATTTCTTAAAAATTCCTTCTGAAAATCATTTTTGTGTCCGTTGGTCACAATTCATTCGATATATGTGATACAATTGTACTAACAATAAAAAAGTTTCTCGAATGGTGAATTTTGCTCTGCGCGGATAATTATTGCGCGATTTTGTAGGGCTTGTTAATAATATAATTCAACGTTAAACTTTAATGAAAATGATATTATTGATTACAAGATTGAGCGTTATTACATGTGACAGTTACGGTAAAAATTCTAATCTTTCTAAACTATATAAATACGCCTCCTATTATTTTTTATCTAACACTAACTTTAACTGACTTTAACACTTTCCCTTGTTTGATAAAAATTAATAATTATACAAGTCCCATCTTTACACAAAGGATATGTAATCTTGTTTGAGCGAGAGGTTTGGTCATAATGTCAGCTACCTGATGTTCAGATGAAACCTTTTCTACAACCAAAGTGCCTTCACTAACATGCTCACGAATAAAGAAGTGTTTCCTTTGAATGTGCTTGGTTCTGCGATGATTTTCGGGATTCTCAGAAAGTCTAACGGCTGCTGCGTTGTCAATCTGGATAACTGGAATTTCCTTTAAAAATGTAATTTCTTGCAAAAGTCGAGTAAGCCAAATAACTTCCTTTGCGGCTTCACTTGCAGCTACGATTTCTGCTTCAGCTGTAGATTCTGTTACGGAACCTTGTCGCTGACTAATCCAAGAAACAGCTCCATTGGCATATTTGACCAGTACTCCTGATGTTGAACGACCTGTTTTAGGTTTTACTACAACCACCGAAATCAGCATCACTGTAGCATTCGAACGCTCCCTTCTTAGCGTTACTTTGATATACTATACCAAGATCAATAGTCCCAGCTATATACCTAAGGACTCTTTTAGCTCTCGCTACATCATCAATAGTAGGGTTTTCTAATGACCTGGATAAAAATCCCACACTGTAGGCTAAATCTGGTCTCGAGCCTAACATAAGGTACATGATCGCACCAACGACCTGTCGATATGGAAATATGACTTCTTTTTCTGATGCTTTCCCTGAATTCGAACTTCCTGAACTTGAAAGCATTGGTGTAGAAACTGACTTGCATTCAACAAAATTAAAACGCTCAAGTAGTTTCTGAGCATACGATTTCTGGCTAATCTTGATATTTCCATTCTGCGATTTTTCAATTTCAAGACCCAAGAAATATGTTGCTTCATTTGAGGTAATCTTGAACTCTGTTCTAAGTTGGTGGATAAATTCTTCAAGATCTTCTTTATGAGTAGCAGCAATAAGACCATCATCTACATATAATGCTAAAACTATCTTAGCACCATTTTTCTCTTTAACAAACATACATGGTTCTTCTTTACTGGCTCTAAACTGTAATTTTTGTAAATATTTTCCAATACGATGATTCCAACATCTAGGCGACTGCTTTAGTCCATATAAACTCCTTTTGAGTAGGCAGACTCTACCAGACTCATCATCGTATCCATCTGGCTGTTTCATAAAGATCTTTTCCTCCAGCTCTCCATATAAAAATGCAGTTGAGACATAAAATTGGGCCAAATGCATTTTCTCTGTTGCAGCAATACCAAGTATCAAACGAATAGTTTGCAACTTTGCAACTGGACTGAAAGTATTATTGTAATCAATACCTTTCTTTTTATTGTATCCTTTTGCGACCAATCTTGCCTTGTATTTTAAAATACTTCCGTCTGGATTTAATTTTAATTTATAAACCCACTTACAAGCAATTGCTTTACCACCTGTGGGTAATTTTACTAATTCCCATGTGTTATTTTCCATCAAGGAAGCCATTTCATTGTCCATGGCATTTTTCCAGGATGCACGATTTTTATCTTGTATAGCTTCTTCATATGTTTGAGGATGGAGCTCTGTCATCATCGTCATAACGTAATCTTCAAGATACTTTGGAGTGCGGATAATTTCTCGATTACGTAACGATCTTTCATTGTTATATTCACTACTGCACTCATC